GCCCCTCTCGGAGAGCCCGGCAAGCTACTGAGAGTATTGGATATGCCAGACACAGTAACAACAAAGTCTCCAATGGAGACGTTACTGGGCCCACTCGAGCAAATCGAAGATCAACGGGAGGGCCTTTACCTTACCTTTACCTTTTATTATTATTTTATTCGTTATTATTATTATTTTGTTGTCATTATTATTTTGTTGTTGTTGCGGGAGGCATACCCAGTGGTAATAATGGCTAATTCCTGACTCTGTTCTCAGAGATCACTCCTGGCAGGGCTCAGGGAAGACCTTGTGGGCTGCTGGGTATCAAACCCAGGTCAGCTGCATACAAGGCAACTGCCCTATCCTCTCTACTATCTCCGGCCATCATTCAGAATTTTACATTATAAATATAACACTAATACTCTTTCTAATCCTGTCTGCTTTTATACTCTGCATATTTGTTGTCAGGGCTAGGAATCGAATCCAGGACCTCACACAAACAAGACCTCTGAGTACAGGCAGATTCACAGACATAAGCCACCTCTAAGCTACATCCCCTGCCCCTTTGTACTCTTGAAGCCATAATCACATACTTTCCAGGCTATGATTTCTTTCAGTGTTGACGACATCCTACTTGCCACAAACCACCATTGATATTTGTGAGGGGCTCATGGGGAAGAGCACGAGATCCCATTTGTACATGCCTCATTTGGAATAACTTAAAGTTGACATGGCAGGGAGATAGCCGCTGGCACCACATACCCCCTAAGCATTGCCCGGTGTGGCCCTGCAGACTCCCAAGCACTGCCAGTATGACCCTGGTGGTCCCTTGCAATGCAGTATCTAGAGCAGTATCACATACACAGGCATTGCCAGTGCCCCTGGACCCACTGAGCATCAGTAGAAGGTGAAAAAAAAAATAAATGAATAAAATTGACATGGGAAGGGGCCATGGATGTGGCTCACTGGCAGAGTACTTGCTTTTTTTTATTTTAATTTTTTAAAATTTTTATTAGTAAGACACCATGAGGTACAGTTGTAGACTTACAAATTTTTGTGCTTGGGTTTCAATTGTACAATGATCAAATACCCATCCCTCCACTAGTGCCCATTTCCCACCACCACGAATCCCAGTATCCCTCCCACCCCCATCCCCCCCATCCCACCTTTCCTCTGTGTCAGGACATTCCCTTTTGTTCTCTCTCTCCTCTTGGGTGTTGTGGTTTGCAAAAGAGGCATTGAGTGGCAATCATGTTTGGTCTATAGTTTACTTTCAGCATGCTTCTCCCATCCTGGGAGGATCCTCCCAACATCCTTTATTTGGTGCTCCCTCCTCTAGCTGAGCTCCCTTTTCCCCCAAGCATGTGTGGTTGGCCTCCAAGCCATGGAGCTAACCTCCTGGTACTAATCCCGGGCACTCTTGGGTGTTAGTCTCCTATTTTGTTACTTTATGTTCCCCAGATGAATGCAATATTTCTATGTCTATCCCTCTCTTTCTGACTCATTTCACTTATCTTGATACTTTCCATGTAGTACCACTTGTATGTAAATTTCATGACTTCATCTTTTCTAACAGCTACGTAGTACTCCATTGTGTAGATGTACCAAAGTTTCTTTAACCAGTCATCTGTTCTCGAGCACTCAGGTTTTTTTCCAGATTCTGGCTATTGTAAACAGTGCTGCAATGAACAAACAAGTGCAGATGTCACTTTGAGTATACGTTTTGCCTCTCTGGGATATATTCCCAGGAGTGGTATTGCTGGGTCAAATGGGAGCTCAATTTCTAATTTTTTGAGAATCGTCCATACTGTTTTCCAAAAGGGCTGAACCAGTCAGCATTCCCACCAGCAGTGAAAGAGGGTCCCTTTCTTGCCACATCCGCGCCAGCACCGGTTGCTTTTGTTCTTGTGGATGTGGGCCAGTCTCTGTGGTGTGAAATGATATCTCATTGTGGTTTTGATCTGCATCTCCCTGATGATTAATGATGTGGAGCATTTTCTCGTGAGCCTTTTAGCCATTCGGATTTCTTCTTTGCGAAAGTTTCTGTTCATTTCATCGCCCCATTTTTTGATGGGGTTGGATGTTTTCTTCTTGTGGACTTCAACCAGTACTTTGTATATCCTTGACATCAACCCCTTGTCAGATGTGTATCTGGCGAATATCCTTTCCCATTCTGTAGACTGTCTTTGTACTTTGGTCACTGTTTCTTTTGAGGTGCAGAAGCTTCTTAGTTTAAGATAGTCCCATTTGTCTATCTCTGTTTTCACTTGCTTGGCCAGTGGCGTGACATCTTTGAAGATACCATTAGCTTCAATGTCATGGAGGGTTTTGCCAACTTTGTCTTCAATGTACCTTATGGATTCCGGTCTGATGTTGAGGTCTTTAATCCACTTTGATCTTACTTTTCAGAGTGCCTGCTTTTTATGCATAAGGCCCTAGGTTTGATATCTGCACCTAAAAAGGGGGGGAGGGAGGGAGGAGAAAGCAAGGTGTCACCACAACATTCAGAAGCAAAAGAGGATATAAGTTGAAAAGGGCCTATTGGAACTATGGTGAAATAGTCTCAAAAGCATCTGGAAATGGGTGGATAAGAAAAGACCTTTGGGTTACTCCCAAAGGTATCTGCAACATATGTATACAGAGTCTCTGGTGGACAGGAAGGTGGTGTGTGGTTATTCACAGGATAAAAGATACCTGCTGCCACCCTGTTGCTCTTCAGTTTGTAGACCACAGGCAACTCAGTCAAGAATGCTAGTCATCCCCAGTAGTTGGATGATTGATCACCGTGATACCTAAACCCGTATCTAACAACCAAATAGCATGTCAGCACTATCGTGGGGGTCCAGTCTCCATAAATTCCACTTAAAAATGCTGCACTGGCTAGCAAGTATAGTTGACTTGCCAGGATACCTTCTTGGAAGAAAAATTGTGTCACAGGATCTTAGGATGATTTCACAGGTTCCAGAACCCCAGGATCCAGGCTGGAAGATGTCACGAAGGGAAGAAACTGGGACCAGGACTCACACAGGACTGGGTCTGTGCTGAACATTGATGGTGTTGCTGGCCCTGACTGGTCATAGGCACATGAGATTTAAACAATTTCCTGGAAGGCTTTCCACAGCTTTTGCCCTTGAAGCATAGGACCCAACACAGGATTCTAGGAATCAGGGTATTATTATGGAGTAGTGATCTTTTTTAGTTTTTGTTTTCTTGTTAGAGGGCCACACCTGGATCTGTGATGGTGTTTGCTTCTGACATTGCTGAGGTTGGGGGTGGGATCCAACCTGGGCCTTGCGCATGCAAAGCAAGGACTCCAGTTCTTTGAGCTCTTTCTCCAGCCCCAGATGTTGATTATTATGTGACTTATGAAATCTTATAAAAAGAGCTTCCATCTTGCTCTATCTCTGGATTGTTCACTGAGAGAAATCAATCCTCATGGTGTGAGTGGAGCTCACAGCTCCCTTTTGTACAACGATCATTTTGTATAACTTTTATAGGACTATTAGAAAAATTGGAAAAATATGTAGATAATGATATTGATCAGTTGCATAATTACTAAAAATTCTTGTGTAAGTAGTGTTTTTTGTTTTGTGGCCACACCCAGCAGAGGTCAGGGGCTATTCCGGGCTGGGCGCTCTGAATCACTACCAGCAGTGCTCAGGAGACCATGTGGTGTGGAGGGTAAAACCTTGTTTTCCTGCATGCAAAACATATGTTCAAAGTCTGTTAGCTATCTCTCCCATCTTTCAGGGAACAAGCCCTGGCGGAGCTCCAACCCCCTGACTTCCTTTTTCAGCCTCTCCTTTCCTCTTCCACCCATCGTTTTCTTTCCATTTGAAGCAGTGACAGTGAAGAATCTCTCAAGCAGAATGACAGAAAAGTTGGACCTGGCAATCTGCGGGTTCCTTTGGGCACTCAGCATCTCCACTTGGGTTTAGAGGATGGCCTTCAAGATTGGTCATGCGTCCACTTCAGGTCAGGGGATTTTTTGTTTGGTTCGGTTTTGGGGGCACACCCAGCCATACTCCAGTTACTCCTGACTACTCTGCACTCAGAAATTACTCTTGGCGTACTTGGGGGACCATATGGGAAACCAGTATTGAACACAGGTGGGTCTCGTGCAAGACAGGAGCCCATCCCCCTGTACTCTCTGCCTCCGCCCCCTCCATTTTTTTTCCATTTTTTTTTGGCCACACCCAGCAATGCTCAGGGTTGACTCTTTTTTATTTTATTTATTTTTTTTATTAGTGAAACACCATGAGGCACAGTTGTAGACTTACAAATTTTTGTGCTTGGGTTTCAGTTATACAATGATCCAGTACCCATCCTTCCACCAGTGCCCATTCTCCACCACCACCAATCCCAGTATCCCCCTCATCTCCCCCAATCCCATCCTGCCTCTGTGGCAGGGCATTCTCAGGGCTTACTCTTGGCTCTGCGTTAATGGACCATTCCTGGCGCGGCTCTGGGTATCGAACCCGGGCTTGACGCGTGCAAGGCAAGCGCCTTACCTGCGGGATTATTTCCGGCCCGGGACAGGGGCTTTACAATTTCCTTTTGTTGCTGAAGGATTCGCTCGGAGTTCAACGGTGTGCTAAAGCTCGAACTCCTCTGCAATCGTAGTAAGTTGGCCCCTTGGAAGACACTTTTTTTGTTTTGTTTTATTTTCTTCCCCGCTTAGACATTCTACGATGAACCTAAAAACGGAACCTGGGACTGCGTAGCGCGGCGAGGGGGGCTCCGCTCCGTCACGTACCAGGTGTCTCGGGTGGCGCCCGCAACTCCTCCCTTTCTCCACTAGGGGCCGCTGGGCGCGCTGGCTTCCTTAACTCTCGGGAAAGGAGGCGGAAACCTTTGCTACGACGCCGGTTGGCTGCCAGAGGCTTGATTGACACGGCGTCAGCGAATGACTCTGAAGCAAGTCGCCGTTGTTTATGCGCGTACGTCTAATGGGAAGGCAGAGCGGCGGCCCTCGGCCAATGAGGCCCGGGCAAAAGTGGAGTGGGAGGGCGGGCCTTGGGTCGAGGGGCGGGCGCTGCGTAAAGAGCCTGGAGCGGCGCCGGGCGAGCCAGAAGCACATCCGGCCGCGGGAGAGTTGCGTCGTCTTCCGAGCGGAGGTGAGGGCGGGGGGCGACGTTTGGGGCCGGGACCGCGCAGGCCGGAACCGAGGCGCAGAAAGGGCTTCGGGGCTCTTGTCTCCGTTTTCGGATTGACTTCGGCGGGGTCCGGCCTGTTGACGCCACCCGGGAGAGCTGGGCGGGGAGGGTGGGAGCGCGGGAGCCGAGGACTGCGCAGGCGCGACGGCTCCGGCGTCGGGGGAGGGCGGGCGGCGGGGCCGGGTCTGGGGGCGTCGGGGCGCGCGAACGCGGGCAAACCCCCCTGGCAGCCTCCGCCTTTCTCGCCCTCGGCCTTCCCCCGGCTTCTCTGCCGTCGCCTGTGGGCGCTGGGGCCGCTTGGCTCGGACCCAGCGATCGGAATTCAGGGCACGTCCTTCGACCACCCATCCCCCCTTTGATTTTCTTCGGGGACGGAAAGCGACGCCCCGGCTCGGTGGTCCCGATCGCCCCGCGCGGCTGCTGGCGCTGCTGCGGGGTCCGGGGCCGGCGGTCGGGCCCGGGCGGGACCAGGCTGCCCGGTCGCGGCGGGGCGGGTGATGTCACACTCGCCTGTGACACGGCGAGGCGCCTTGGTGACCCGGAGGCCAAGAGCAGAGGCGGGGGCAGAAGGACCCGGGCTCGGCCTGGCCTCCCGGCCGCTCGGGGCAGGTCACGCTCCGGCCGGATTGGTCACCTTTGGACAGGTGAGGGTGGCCTCGCCCGGCCCCGGCCGCGAGCCGTGGGCACGTCCTGGGACGCACGTCGCCGGCGGTTGCTTGTTCCGGGGGGCCCGGGCGCAGCCGCCGGGGTCGCCTCCGCGTTCGTGGGGGTTTCCCGGGTGTCGATAGGCTCGAGCTCCCGGGTCCTAGCAGGTTGCGGCGCTTTCACCCGCCAGCCACCGCGAGAGCTTTGAACTTGAGACTCTGCTGAACGTGGAATAGACCCAAGAGCTGACGTCCTGCAGCTCGGAAGATTTTCAGGTTAAAGGTCGATGCTGAGTGGGTTTTTCTAGTTAGTCATTGATAACGTTTTCCAGAGCGTGTTTTGGATGCACGTGTAAAGAATTCAGTTCCAGAAGGGCTGGAGGGTCTGCTGGGTCCAGAGCACCAGCTATCAGCCGCCTCGGAGCCCCTCGGGCCGCGGCCCCCCCCACCCATGCAAGAACAAACAAGATAAAGTTGCAGAGCCACATTTCTTAACTGCCTTCTGCAAACACCATCAGCAATACTGGGCTGGCTCTTCTAGTGTTCTCTTATTGCCCTGTGATTTTTTTTTTTTTTTTGGTTCTGGCTTCAAGAATATGTTGACATTTAGATTTTGCTGTTTTCCTCCAGTGGGAACAGAACGTTTGAATCCTTGAGAAAGGCAATCTGTAATCTGGACTCACAGTTTCCGTCTTTCATTATTCATCTTGTGGAAACATGGCTTCCTTTCTCTTGCTGGCTACCTAATCGGACTGAGGTCTTTAGTCTGCTAAAGAACAGGAAAGGTGGGGTCAGGGAAATAGCTCTGTGAGCTGAGCACATCGCCCAGCCTAGCCCAAGGCCGGGAGGAGCCTTTAGCACCTGGGCATAACCCCCAACGGGCACAAGCAAAAGGAAAGCATGGAAAAGGTAAATTTAATGCTGATTTACATTTTCCTCCCTGAGGTGATGTAACTCACCGTTTTTTTTTTGTTGTTGTTGTTGACACAGTGAAAAATACAGAAATAGGAATTCTCTTGAAACTACCTTAAGGAAAACTTCCTGGTTTGGTGTAGGATGCGGTAGTGAGAACACTAGGCTTTAGAGTCCTGGAGGGTCTGCTTCTGACTGTTTCGAAGTTGATATTGGGCAGGTCAGTTCTAACGTCTTTGTAGTGCTCTACAGTGGTTTTGCAGGCCTTCTTACTGGCTTTCATTTAGCTTGACAGAGTAGATTGTTATCCTTATCTTAAAGATGAGGGGGTGAGATGACCTTAGGTAAAATGATTTTCCGGTAAGGACTGGAGAGATGGTCCAGCAGGTAGGGCGCTTGCCCGCCATGCTCCTGCTCTAGGTCCGGTTCTCTGCTTCCATATGGTTCCCTGATCACTGCCAAAGTTGTGGCACTGTAGCACCGTCCTCCCGTTGTTCATCGATTTGCTCGAGCGGGCACCAGTAACATCTCCATTGTGAGACTTGTTACTGTTTTTGGCATATTGAATATGCCACGGGGAGCTTGCCAGGCTCTGCTGTGCAGGCGGGATACTCTCGGTAGCTTGCAGGGCTCAGTGAGAGGGACAGAGGAATCGAGCCTGGGTCAGCCGTGTGCAGGGCAAACACCCTACAAGCTGTTCTATCGTTCCAGCCCACTGCCAAAGTTGAGTGGTAGAAAATGGCTGAACGTGTGACTCTGAGTCCAGTGCTCTTTTCACTCTTGTATAGCATTTTTGTTTTGTTTTTTTTTTTGGTCACACCCGCGATGCCCAAGGGTTACTCCTGGCTTTGCACTCAGGAATCACTCCTGGTGGTGCTCAGGGGACCATATGGGATGCTGGGAATCGAACCTGGGTCGGCTGCGTGCAAGGCAAATGCCCTACCCGCTGTGCTATTGCTCCAGCCCCTCGTATAGCATATTTGAACTTTTTAGTTCTTTTTTAAAGCAGTGTAGAGGGATCAGCTCCCAAGGCCTCCCTCATGTGAGACAGGCACGCTGATAGACATCCCCAGCCCAGACCCCCTTTTCAGTTCTTAAAATGCTGTCCTAATAGATTGATGGGGAAATCAAAGGAAATGACTGTGTTTAAGAAGCGCTTTGACAGCCATTACACTTTACATAAATGAATTCAGTGTTTTTGTTGCAGAAGGTACTGCTGCTGACCTGAAGTTTCACTTTATTTCATAAACTCCCCAGGAGTATTAATTCCCACTGGGAAAATACTGACGTCTCCTGATGTTCTATCTACTACATTTTCCTTTGCTACTTTGGCTTAGCTGTAGAGTCTCGTACAAGTATCTTACACTTGACTGTTTGTTCCCTAGAGTTTCTTTTTTCTTTTTCTTTTCATTTTTTTTCTCTTTGTTTTGTTTTTGGGCTACACCTGCTGGTGCCCCTGAGTTTGTAACCATATTTCATGGGGCAGTTTTTCTATTACATTTTTTTTGTTTGTTTTCTAAAGCTCATCCAAGGAGATGAGAGACTGGCATTTCAGCCAGTCACTCCTGTTATTTGACCCTTCCCCCCGCCCTTACCTGCTGGGGAATGTTGATGTTCTGAAACTTGATTCAGATAATGGGTCTGATTTGCTCTGGAGGCTCCTGGTATATTTAAAGAGTTAGGGGAGGTACACCCAAGGACAGTAGAAATGAGGGCCAGGAGGACAGGTCCATGGTGGCAAGCTTGCCACAGATCTGTGGGGTGGGGGTGAGGCAGTTAGGACAGAGAAGGGACCACTATGACAATGATAGTTGGAAATGACCACTCTAGGCAAGAACTGAATGCTGAGGGATGACTCGGTCTGATCCCCAGCATCCCATACAGTCCCCCGACACTGCCAGGAGTAATTTCTGAGTGCAGAGCCAAGAGTAACCCCTGAACGTCACCCCGGTGACTCAAAATGCTAAAACAAAAGTAACAACAAAAAAACCTGAACACCGAAAGGAGGAGGTAAAGGGATACACAAGGTAACTTTTCAGACCTTTATTGCAAGTCATAGAGCCCAGAAGGAGAGAGAAGAAAAGTGTCTTCTGGACAGAGGGAGGCTTCGGGGGTGTGGGGAGGGAGACTGGGAATATTGGTGGTTGGAAATGTACACTGGGGAGGGGAGGGATGTTGGAACATGGTATGAATGAAACTCAATCATGAACAATTTTGTAACTATCTCAAGGTGATTTAATTAAAAACAAACAAACAAAAAAAGAATTAGGGGATTGTTAGCTTGAATCAGATTCAGGCTTTGCCCTGAAGTTATGAGAGTTCTAGGCACTACTTAAAGTGTGAGAGTTCTGGGAACGGTTGGTTGGAATCCACGCTTGGAAAAAGAGCTTCAAGGGTAAGGATCAAATATATCATGGTGCATGGTGCGTTTGGTAGGGCATTTGCTTTGCATGTGGCCGACCTGGGTTCAATCCCCAGAGTCACACAAGGTTCCCCAAGCCTGCCAGGAGTGATCCCTGAGCACAGAGCCAGGAGTAAGTCCTGAGCACTGCTGAGTGTGGCCCAAACAACCACCCATCCCACACTTCAAAAAGAAAAAAAAAATATGGTGCAGAAAATAATGTATCGGGCTGGAGAGGTAGCCCCAGGACTGCATGGTACTGTGAGTAACCCAGGAAGTGGTCCCTGGACATGTTGCCAGATTAGACCTCCTACCCCTGGGTGTGGGCCCATCATTTTTCAAAATAATTAAAGCAGTAGTTTTTCTTAACCATTGTGCCAGGAGTAGGCACCCCAGGTTCACATTTTGTGGGGGGAGGGCACACCCAGTAGGACATCGGGTTTACTCTTGGTTCTGTACTCAGGGATCACTCTGGGCAGGGCCTAGGGTGACGTGGTGCTGGGGATTGAACCCAGATTGGCCACTTGCAAGGCAAGGCCATAACCACTATGCTATCACTTTGGCCTCCAAATTTTTTAAATAATCTACTAAGGGTAGATTTTCAATCTGCAGTGGAAACTAGTCTGGTTCGGAGATAGCTCTTAGATAGGATTGTTACCTAATCCTGGGCATTTGGTCAAAGTTAAGGGAGTGATTTTGGATTATTTCCTATCAGAACGGTTCAAGTCCAGCCCTAGTCGGTGGCATTTTTTTCAATTTCCAGAACTGACCTGATTACCTCCGTTATCATTTAGTGGTTATTAGACTGTCTCAGAATGCCTCGGCCCCGTGGAATAAGTGGAACAATGTAGGGGCTGGAGAGGCAGGAGTATACGTGCATGTGACTGACCCCAGTTTGATCCTTGCCACCACAGGGTCCCCCAAGCACAGAGGTGGGAGTAGCCCCCCAAACCAAAATAAGAGGTAAAGTGTCAGTGTACCAGAGTGTCAGTGTGCCGTTTGAA